TCTCTATTTTCTATCTCACTTGCCTTCTCACCTAACTACTTAGATTTTTTGTAAGCATGATATACTAATTTTTCTCCAACTCATAGTGTCTACTAATTATATTGTTTTGCCAGTAAGTGTACCTATGTTCCATGTTAGTAATTTAAGTCTATTATCGTGAACTAACTTTCTTACCCCTGTGAGTGGCACCTTACTTAATTTGTTGCATCAGTCGAAGAGCTCTTTCTTGTAGTCAAATGTAGTTGGGTTTGGTCATTTCAGCACAAGTTCCACGNTTTTGCCATTATAAGGTCATATACTATTGTAAACTTTAAAATACTCTCTCTGGCTTCATTTCGATCACTATATCCATAACCATCATGACTCCTCTCATATTGTGTCCTATGTTTTCCTACATGTCCATTGAAATCTCCACATATGATTATCTTTTCTTCTATAGGCATATATTGAACTAATTCATCAATTTGTTCCCAAAATTAGTTTTTAGTATGNCCATCACACTGTCGCCTAAAAGCACCCATTGTTGCCCACCACCACCATTGTCACTGACCACCACCATTGTCGTTGTCCCACCATAACCAACGCTAACCACCAGCACCGTCGTCCACCACCATCGTCGTCGTCAACCACTGTCGTTGTCCCATCACAACCATTGCTAACCACTATAACCGTCGTCCACCACCACCCACACTCACCACCACCACCGCCGTCAACCACCATCAACCACGGCTGCCACTACCATCATCATCACTTAAACCCCACCCACCACCATCACCGTTGTCACCCACGACTGCCACCACCACTACGGTTGTCGTTACCCATTACAACTATCATCATTTTCCACCATCACCACTGTCGCCCACCACCACTAATACCGTTCACCCCCATTACAATTGGTACTTACATTTCTTTATCTCTCATTTATATTTGTGATTTGATTTTAGATGTGCATACAAATATGTTTATTGTTGACATTTTTTTTGTTGCTCTGTGCCTTCAGGTACGGGGAATAACTAGTACTTCCATAATACAAGTCTATCGTATAAAAAATATACGATAAATATACGATTAGTATATATTTTTAAAATTAATACGGTATCAAATTTACTAACTAAACAAAGTATTAGATTAAATAAAAAATAGTATAATTTATTATTTAATCTCCTCATAATACATCTACCAAACAACCACTAATTATTTGTGTGGTGAGAGAAGACGTAGAAGTTGGATGTCTCTTTCTAACATAAATATTTGTATTTCCTTGTGCATATAAAACATGCACTTTGTAAGTTGAATGTGAGGTTTTACAAAGTAATCCTACGAGAAAACTTTTGGTTTGAGTGTGTATATCATTTTTCTGTTTGGCTTATCTTTCAAAAATAAAATAAAACCCAAAACCGTTTAAGTTTTTTTTAAAAAAGTTAAAAAAGTCTATTTTTAGTAACTTTCTAACTTTTTTGATTTTTTATGTGAAAATAAAAAATAATTACATACATGTATAGTTTATGCATAATAGTTTCTAAAATATATATTTCAATTTTTTTACATCATTAATAATATTTTATAGATATAGTAAACTAAATATTTATGTGGGACCCGCGACAAAAACACCAAAAAAATCAAAATAAAATTTCATAAAATCAACTTCTTAAATCAGTCTAAATAAATTTTTTTGGCTGATTTAAAAAACTACCGCATAAACTTGTCCCGGAGTCCAATTTCAAACAGACTTGACTTATTTTATTCCAAAGCCTATAAAATCAACCTATTTCAACTAGCTCCAAATAAACTCAATGTCACATGATGAGATGGTCGAAGTAAATTTGGGAAGTTTGGGTAGGTGAGTTTGCAAACATTTTCCTAAGAATGTTGAAGAGAATTTTCAGGTAACTCATCCATCCTTCATGGAAGATACCTTTGCATCTATATGTATATCTATATATATTATATACTGCTTTAAAAGGTTACTAAACCCAAAAATATTTTTGTGTCATCATTACCCTCAAACAATATTATGAGGACCATTTTATCATAGCATAAATATATAACAATAGCGTTCAATTAGTAAACCTTTCACATTCTGCCTTCAATGACTGTGGTGCAAAGTATGCACCGGTTGATCTAAATAAGACAACTGTTAGATTTCTACAATTAATTTCTCTTTAAGAACTTTGCAACTTACTGTCTTCCGTCCATTTTTGATAATGCATTTGTCCACCAATATATTGAAAGATCGGCTAATACATTGAAATGCATTTGTCCACCATCATTTTTTTACTTAAGAAGTAGTCTAGTTAGGTCTTGTTTGGTCCACTCTTATAAGTTATTAAATGTTCTTCTCGTTTTTTAAACAAAGTGTTTGTCATTATAAGGTCATATACTATTGTAAACTTTAAAATACTCTCTCTGGCTTCATTTCGATCACTATATACATAACTATCATGACTCCTCTCATATTGTGTCCTATGTTTTTCTACATGTCCATTGAAATCTCCAAATATGATTATCTTTTCTTTTATAGGCATATATTGAACTAATTCATCAATTTGTTCCCAAAATTAGTTTTTAGTATGTTCTTCTAATCCTACTTGAGGTGCATAAGCGCTAATCACATTAATTATATTCTCTCTGATTACAAGTTTGATAAATATAATCCTCTCTCATTTNCACCCACACTCACCACCACCACCGCCGTCAACCACCATCAACCACGGCTGCCACTACCATCATCATCACTTAAACCCCACCCACCACCATCATCGTTGTCACCCACGACTGCCACCACCACTACGGTTGTCGCTACCCATTACAACTATCATCATTTCCCACCATAACTATTGTCGCCCACCACCACTAATACCGTTCACCCCCATTACAATTGGTACTTACATTTTTTTATCTCTCATTTATATTTGTGATTTGATTTTAAATGTGCATACAAATATGTTTATTGTTGACATTTTTTTTGTTGCTCTGTGCCTTTAGGTACGGAGAATAACTAGTACTTCCATAATACAAGTCTATCGTATAAAAAATATACGATAAATATACGATTAGTATATATTTTTAAAATTAATACGGTATCAAATTTACTAACTAAACAAAGTATTAGATTAAATAAAAAATAGTATAATTTATTATTTAATCTCCTCATAATACATCTACCAAACAACCACTAATTATTTGTGTGGTGAGAGAAGACGTAGAAGTTGGATGTCTCTTTCTAACATAAATATTTGTATTTCCTTGTGCATATAAAACATGCACTTTGTAAGTTGAATGTGAGGTTTTACAAAGTAATCCTACGAGAAAACTTTTGGTTTGAGTGTGTATATCATTTTTCTGTTTGGCTTATCTTTCAAAAATAAAATAAAACCCAAAACCGTTTAAGGTTTTTTTTAAAAAGTTAAAAAAGTCTATTTTTAGTAACTTTCTAACTTTTTTGATTTTTTATGTGAAAATAAAAAATAATTACATACATGTATAGTTTATGCATAATAGTTTCTAAAATATATATTTCAATTTTTTTACATCATTAATAATATTTTATAGATATAGTAAACTAAATATTTATGTGGGACCCGCGACAAAAACACCAAAAAAATCAAAATAAAATTTCATAAAATCAACTTCTTAAATCAGTCTAAATAAATTTTTTTGGCTGATTTAAAAAACTACCGCATAAACTTGTCCCGGAGTCCAATTTCAAACAGACTTGACTTATTTTATTCCAAAGCCTATAAAATCAACCTATTTCAACTAGCTCCAAATAAACTCAATGTCACATGATGAGATGGTCGAAGTAAATTTGGGAAGTTTGGGTAGGTGAGTTTGCAAACATTTTCCTAAGAATGTTGAAGAGAATTTTCAGGTAACTCATCCATCCTTCATGGAAGATACCTTTGCATCTATATGTATATCTATATATATTATATACTGCTTTAAAAGGTTACTAAACCCAAAAATATTTTTGTGTCATCATTACCCTCAAACAATATTATGAGGACCATTTTATCATAGCATAAATATATAACAATAGCGTTCAATTAGTAAACCTTTCACATTCTGCCTTCAATGACTGTGGTGCAAAGTATGCACCGGTTGATCTAAATAAGACAACTGTTAGATTTCTACAATTAATTTCTCTTTAAGAACTTTGCAACTTACTGTCTTCCGTCCATTTTTGATAATGCATTTGTCCACCAATATATTGAAAGATCGGCTAATACATTGAAATGCATTTGTCCACCATCATTTTTTTACTTAAGAAGTAGTCTAGTTAGGTCTTGTTTGGTCCACTCTTATAAGTTATTAAATGTTCTTCTCGTTTTTTAAACAAAGTGTTTGTCATTATAAGGTCATATACTATTGTAAACTTTAAAATACTCTCTCTGGCTTCATTTCGATCACTATATACATAACTATCATGACTCCTCTCATATTGTGTCCTATGTTTTTCTACATGTCCATTGAAATCTCCAAATATGATTATCTTTTCTTTTATAGGCATATATTGAACTAATTCATCAATTTGTTCCCAAAATTAGTTTTTAGTATGTTCTTCTAATCCTACTTGAGGTGCATAAGCGCTAATCACATTAATTATATTCTCTCTGATTACAAGTTTGATAAATATAATCCTCTCTCATTTCTTTTTAACTGCTACTAAGCTATCTTTATGGCCTTTATCTACAACTATTCCTACTTCATTTCTTCATCTATCCTTTCTTATATAGTAAATCTTAAATTCTCTATTTTCTATCTCACTTGCCTTCTCACCTAACTACTTAGATTTTTTGTAAGCATGATATACTAATTTTTCTCCAACTCATAGTGTCTACTAATTATATTGTTTTGCCAGTAAGTGTACCTATGTTCCATGTTAGTAATTTAAGTCTATTATCGTGAACTAACTTTCTTACCCCTGTGAGTGGCACCTTACTTAATTTGTTGCATCAGTCGAAGAGCTCTTTCTTGTAGTCAAATGTAGTTGGGTTTGGTCATTTCAGCACAAGTTCCACGACCCTCTGCAGTTTGTCTACAGGTATGGGACATGAAAAGAGTCTGCAAATTAATTAACTAAAAAGAACTACACCCTTACATAATTTTAGGACTTAATCAATTATAGTTATTAAATTAAAATTAAATTTTTATAACATTTCTGAAAAAGAAAATTATAAAAACAATTGAGTGTAAGAAGTTCCACCACTGCAAGTCTAAAAAGAATTAAATATGCACAATCGTATTTCGTTGCTAGAGACTTAGTTTTGTGACTCGAATCCTTTACATTCGTTTTTAACATAGCAACTTAACCACTACACAGAACTTATTTTTATACTGCCTGCTGGGAAAGTATCAAAAAATTTGTTATTTGGTTTACATCTCATAAACTATTTTTCTATTTTCTAAAATAGTTTCTGGAAGAAAAAATGTTTAGTTAGGTTTTTTTTTTTTTTGAAAACTAAGAGCAAAAAATAGGTATATTTAGAGAATAAGTTAGAACAAGTTAGAGAGAGAGAGAGAGCGAGAGAGAGAGAGGAGATATACGCTTTGGTAGCAGCATAGATAGCATAGAGAGGATGAGAAGGAACAACAATGGCAGCACCAGAACCAATATTAACAATTGCACCTCTCCTCCTTTTGATCATTCCCGGTAGAACAGCTCTTGTAACCAAACTGGTACCCACCAAATTCACTCTCACCACATTCATCCACACTTCCTCTTCAACCTCATGAAACAACCTAGCTTCTGAATACGTAACCCCCACGTTATTAATCAACACACCCACCTCCAACCCTTCAATGGCCGCCTCCATCTCTCTCACTCCGGCCGCCACGTCGCCGGAAAAGTTCAGCACAATAATCTTGATCTGGGTATTCCGATATTGAGCATGAATTTCAGTTGAAACTTCATTGAGCTTGTTGAAATTTCTACTCACTAGAATTAAGTTTAGACCTTTCTGGGCTAGTTTGAAGGCGAAGGCTTTGCCTATGCCATCTGTTGAACCAGTGATGAGTGCCCATGAGCCATAGTTTCTGAGATTCTTTGGAGGTCTGAGGAAGGTGATGAAGACCCATTTTAGGAGAGAGAAGGATTTCCTGAAGAGGAAGAGAAAACCAAGAGAAGAGAGAAGAAATATCCATGGAGAAATTGTTTTTTTTGGGTGATCAATGAAGTCTGAAAGCATCATTCTTTGTGCTTGGAGGTCAGAGAAATAATGATCCTTGGATTACTAGTTCAATAAATGAATGTGATTTCATGTGTATATATTTTCTCCCTTGTATTTTGACTTATGAATTAATGGATCGAATTTTAACATATTTGAATTTAAATTTGATTTTAAAAGTTCAGCCCGATAATTCAACGAATTTTATATTCATAAATTATATCCGAATCTGTTAATAATCTGAAATTCAATCCCAAAAATCTAATCCAATCTGAATATCTTAATTAATTAAATTTTAATAAATTATACATAAATTTTTTAAAATAATCACTTAATTGTTTTAAGATTTATATAGAAATCTTTCTAATATTATAGTTAAAAAATTAAATACTCAACTTATAAAAGTACAACAATGATCAAGATTGATTCAATCTTCATCTATTTTGATCAAATATACAAAATTCATCCTAAATTTTTTTTTACCGCTCATCTTTTCTCCACAACTCTCTGTGTCAGACAACTTAATCAACCATCAACACTCTTCACTATGTCAAATAATTCTATTAATTCACGCTTACTTGTCTCTTATCTCTCTTATTTTCACACTCTTTTATTTTAATNTATCCTAAATTTTTTTTTACCGCTCATCTTTTCTCCACAACTCTCTGTGTCAGACAACTTAATCAACCATCAACACTCTTTACTATGTCAAATAATTCTATTAATTCACGCTTACTTGTCTCTTATCTCTCTTATTTTCACACTCTTTTATTTTAATTTTAAATTGCATAATTAAAAAAATTCTGTTATTTAACATATAGATATTATATAATTNTGTCTCTTATCTCTCTTATTTTCACACTCTTTTATTTTAATTTTAAATTGCATAATTAAAAAAGTTCTGTTATTTAACATATAGATATTATATAATTATTACTAACATATAAATAATTTGGATCAGATTGAGTTCGATCATAATTACGTCGGATATATGTACNACATAATTAAAAAAATTCTGTTATTTAACATATAGATATTATATAATCAATATTTGATTTTTAATATAGTAGAGTATCTTTAAATACGTGATTATTACTAGCATATAAATAATTTGGATCAGATTGAGTTCGATCATAATTACGTCGGATATATGTACATCTAAATTTCAAATCGGTATCTGTGGAAAAATGAATTGAGGCTAGCAAGGGACCACAATGCCTTTTAATAAAGCCAATACTCGGTGAAAGAGAGACATCAGCAGCATTCATGAAACCAACGCCCGTATAATAACTACTTTCCGTAAATGGATATTTGCAGTAACTTTGTGTGTTTGTATAAAAAAGGTAGGAATTAATTCTTTTTTGATTTAGAAATTAATTTTATTATAAATTAAGAATAAAATTAAAACTCAATCTCGCAAAATTAAATCTTAATTTGGTGAGAGACTTCACTAATGTGGTATTCCTATGTACGTTTTTTTTTTGTTTAGCGGTTAAGAAAGTCTATGCCAATTTATGTGCACTTCGATTTGTTCTCTATCCGATCTAATCAAATACAGGTCATCCACGCTGAGATTAAGATATTCATGTAGGATAAATCTGTCATAACCTGACCCCTAAAGGGTTATTAAGATTTGAATTCAAAATATTTAAATTTAAAACTCGTCTCTTATTACCACTTGAATTCCTTGAAGTTTTCTGCGTAAGTTGTATTANACTTCGATTAGTTCTCTATCCGATCTAATCAAATACAGGTCATCAACGCTGAGATTAGGATATTCATGTAGGATAAATCTCTCATAACCTGACCCCTAAAGGGTTATTAAGATTTGAATTCAAAATATTTAAATTTGAAACTCGTCTCTTATTACCACTTGAATTCCTTGAAGTTTTCTGCGTAAGTTGTATTACTAGTTCTACTATGCATTTTTGCATTTATGGGTCAGAATTCCAGAATTTTTTTAATTTTTCTTTTAGAATTCCAGAATTCATGTATAGGAACTTTGTCATTTTTAATTTTTGAGTCATATTCCTATATCTTTGTGTATTATAATTAAAAAACATTTAATCAAGATTATGTTTGGAGGGAAAGGAAAAAAAAAAAACAAAGTTGGGGTAAATTTTAAACCAATTGATCAAAATAGATAAAAATAATAATTGAATAAATTTTAACCGTTATTGTACTTTTATACATTAAAAATTCAACTTCTTAATTATAATACTAGATTAATGACTACTATTTTTTTTTAAAAAAAAATTATTTCAAACACATAATTACTCATTTACACAACATCTATAATATAAAACAGGACAGACTTCAATAACCCCATTCGACAGTCTTAAATAGACTCATCTAACGGAAATCAATATCCCTCTCAAAACTATTCACATTAAATTTTACCTTCATTTTTTCACTCTTCACTCTCTCTCTCTCTCTCTTTCTCTATTAGGTATCTTCACTCCTCACTTATTCAAATTAACCAGTTGGTTTACGTTATATCGTGCCTGAAAGCACGAATTACCCTTAATATAAATAAAAACAAAGAACCATCACAGAACAAATAAGCCTAGTCTTGGCGTGGATGCAAAGCTACCTATGACTGGACTGAGAAATGAATTAATTAAGGTGCGTATAAACTGGTTCAAATCACTATTGAACTACATCACTGTTATATTATTAAATCAATAAATTATATCAATGTTTTAGATTCCGGTAATATTACTCTTTCAAAAATCATTGGCTTACATAAAATTGATTGAGACTTAACATAAATCATTGGTTAGGTTATGTGGTTTGCACACAAACCATTCTTTTTAAAAAAAATTTTGCAATTCTAATATAAACCTCTTGCCATCAAATTTTCCTAAAAATTCATCAGGAGCGAAGATGGTATCATACCAATTTTTTTTCCAATCATTAATCTTGTTTTGATTTATTTATAATTGTTAATTGTGAAAATAAAAAGAATAAAATACAATAATAACAAAATATAAAAAGATAATAGGGTAAATTAAACTCACACCCCTTGACATTTGACTTTATTATATGGACATTCTCTCACATTTCAAAAATTACACTTAGACCCCAATGGTTAGACGGAGTTAATTCTCTTAATAAAAAGACTAATTTGCCCCTCTATTTAACGCAAACTCAAACCCAAACTCAAACTCCAAACCCTATCCCTAAACCTAATCTTCGCCTCCTCTGCACCAGAAATCCCAATGATTCTCTCTCCCCCAAGCGATCCCAATCATCAGTCTTCTCTTTCTCTCTCAGCCCATCTCTGTGTGTGCGTGTATATATGTATATACATACATATATACATACACACATACAAAGAGAGGAAATACTTGCCTGAAATTGCAAAAAAACTGGCAAAAATTGCCAACCCCTCCCCACCATTGCAACACCCTCTAGTANTTATTTCAAACACATAATTACTCATTTACCCAACATCTATAATATAAAACAGGACAGACTTCAATAACCTCATTCGACAGTCTTAAATAGACTCATCTAACGGATATCAATATCCCTCTCAAAACTATTCACATTAAATTTTACCTTCATTTTTTCACTCTTCACTCTCTCTCTCTCTCTTTCTCTATTAGGTATCTTCACTCCTCACTTATTCAAATTAACCAGTTGGTTTACGTTATATCGTGCCTGAAGGGCACGAATTACCCTTAATATAAATAAAAACAAAGAACCATCACAGAACAAATAAGCCTAGTCTTGGCGTGGATGCAAAGCTACCTATGACTGGACTGAGAAATGAATTAATTAAGGTGCGTATAAACTGGTTCAAATCACTATTGAACTACATCACTGTTATATTATTAAATCAATAAATTATATCAATGTTTTAGATTCCGGTAATATTACTCTTTCAAAAATCATTGGCTTACATAAAATTGATTGAGACTTAACATAAATCATTGGTTAGGTTATGTGGTTTGCACACAAACCATTCTTTTTAAAAAAAATTTTGCAATTCTAATATAAACCTCTTGCCATCAAATTTTCCTAAAAATTCATCAGGAGCGAAGATGGTATCATACCAATTTTTTTTCCAATCATTAATCTTGTTTTGATTTATTTATAATTGTTAATTGTGAAAATAAAAAGAATAAAATACAATAATAACAAAATATAAAAAGATAATAGGGTAAATTAAACTCACACCCCTTGACATTTGACTTTATTATATGGACATTCTCTCACATTTCAAAAATTACACTTAGACCCCAATGGTTAGACGGAGTTAATTCTCTTAATAAAAAGACTAATTTGCCCCTCTATTTAACGCAAACTCAAACCCAAACTCAAACTCCAAACCCTATCCCTAAACCTAATCTTCGCCTCCTCTGCACCAGAAATCCCAATGATTCTCTCTCCCCCAAGCGATCCCAATCATCAGTCTTCTCTTTCTCCCTCAGCCCATCTCTATGTGTGCGTGTATATATGTATATACATACATATATACATACACACATACAAAGAGAGGAAATACTTGCCTGAAATGGCAAAAAAACTGGCAAAAATTGCCAACCCCTCCCCACCATTGCAACACCCTCTAGTAGTCTTCCTTGTCCAAAATGTCAATGGTGGTTTTGGGGTTCGATTTTGACAACGGTGGTTGTTGGGTGTGTGTGTGGTGTGGTTGAGGAGGTGGTTTTACTAGATTGTGGTGGTGGTGGTGTGTGTTGTGTGGTTTGCGGAGATGAAATGGAGATGGGGGGGGTTACTTTGTCACTGAAAGTGGTGGTGCTCTATGTATGTGTGTGAAGAGAGAGATAGAGAGAAAGTGGTGGCGGTTTCCATGGTGTGGAGGTGGCGATGGGTGGTGGGTAATGGGTAATGGTGGATAATGGTGCATTTAGGGGCAAATCTAGATTGATAAATAGAATTNGTGGTGTGTGTTGTGTGGTTTGCGGAGATGAAATGGAGATGGGGGGGGGGTTACTTTGTCACTGAAAGTGGTGGTGCTCGATGTATGTGTGTGAAGAGAGAGATAGAGAGAAAGTGGTGGTGGTTTCCATGGTGTGGAGGTGGCGATGGGTGGTGGGTAATGGTGGATAATGGTGCATTTAGGGGCAAATCTAGATTGATAAATAGAATTTACATAAATATGTTATATAATAAAATAAAAAATTCTAGTTTAAATATGAAATATAAAATAGAGAAATGATTAATGAGAGATGGGATAAAATTTTGGGTAAAAAGAACAAATATTTGAATTTTTAAATTTAGTTTTGAAGGGTATTTTTGGTATTTCACAAATTATTATTGATGACATCCACTTTGTCCGTTAACCATTCTAACGCCTGATAGTTGGAGGGGGGTGTGGTTGTTATAAGTTTTAAATATGTAAGGAGTTTTGTATAATTGTTGAAACGNTGCCTGATAGTTGGAGGGGGTGTGGTTGTTATAAGTTTTAAATATGTAAGGAGTTTTTTATAATTGTTGAAACGTGAGGGGTATCTATGTAATAAAGTCAAATGTCAATGAGGTGGTTACACGTGTACGTCATGATGGTCACATGCTTTTTACTTCATTAAGTGTCTATGTCCCAGAATCCAAGTGTACGTCATTTGGAAAAGAGGTAAGACACGGGAGTTGATTGCGGTAACCGGGGTATAGTAACTCCAAAATTTATTATTGGAAAAATTTTAGCCGCACGGCCACGTACATTTTAATTTATCATATCTTTAAAAAATATTTTTTTTATTTTTAAAATTTTCGCTAGCATTCCTTCTCAGATTAAAGGCCTTAACTAAAATACAATTTTATTAAATTATCCATGNACACGGCCACGGACATTTTAATTTATCATATCTTTAAAAAATATTTTTTTTATTTTTAAAATTTTCGCTAACATTCCTTCTCAGATTAAAGGCCTTAACTAAAATACAATTTTATTAAATTATCCATGATAATATATTTTAGGAAAAACTTCATTCACACTCTTTCTAAATAGATATATCTTCAATGATATCCCCTCTGTTTTATAAATTTTTTTACGAATTAAAATTTGATTCGCGAATCAAATTTTAATCAACTCGCATTAAATTTTAATTGGCCTGAATTTTGATATATAAAAAAATATAAATTTTAATCGACTCAAATTTTAATACGTAAAACATGAATTTTAAATCAATTTGAATTGAATTTTAATTAACACGAATTTTAATAAATAAAAATATATAAATTTTAATCGGCTCGATTCAACACTGATAGCTCAAATTGAGCTCAAATTGACTCGAATTTTAATACATAAAAAAATAGAATTTAATCAGCTCTAAATGAATTTTAATTGACTCAAATTTTAATATATAGAAAAATAAATTTTAATCAGCTCAAATTTTAATATGTAAAAAAAATTATAATTTTTGTAGGTTATTTTATAATAAAAAAATTTAACGCTTTTGTGGGTGATTTATCACTTTTATTAGTGTTTTTATCACTGTTGTGATAACTATTTTATCACTTTTTTTTGGTACAAAAAAAATTACTACTTTTATAGGTGACTTACCATTTTTGTGAATATTTTTACTACTATTATGGATGTTTTTACTACTGATGAAGTAACGTATTGCTCTCTCGGTTANAAATTTTAATAAATAAAAATATATAAATTTTAATCGGCTCGATTCAACACTGATAGCTCAAGTTGAGCTCAAATTGACTCGAATTTTAATACATAAAAAAATAGAATTTAATCAGCTCTAAATGAATTTTAATTGACTCAAATTTTAATATATAAAAAAATAAATTTTAATCAGCTCAAATTTTAATATGTAAAAAAAATTATAATTTTTGTAGGTTATTTTATAATAAAAAAATTTAACGCTTTTGTGGGTGATTTATCACTTTTATTAGTGTTTTTATCACTGTTGTGATAACTATNTAAAAAAATATATTTTAAGCGGCTCAAATTTTATATAGAAAGATTATTTAAGGTTTNAAATTTAACGCTTTTGTGGGTGATTTATCACTTTTATTAGTGTTTTTATCACTGTTGTGATAACTATTTTATCACTTTTTTTTGGTACAAAAAAAATTACTACTTTTATAGGTGACTTACCATTTTTGTGAATATTTTTACTACTATTATTGATGTTTTTACCACCGATGAAGTAACGTATTGCTCTCTCGGTTAACAATAATGGCTAAAACCGGATATTCCACAATAGAGAGATCTTAATGGTCACACTCAAAGGTTATCACCTAGGCGTCGCTTCTTCCTCTATTTGCACAATAAAAAAAAATCATAACCTTATCAGAGTGTATGGTAAAGATTGATCAGGCAGGTAGATTCACATTGGGTCCAAACATTAGGCGTTCTCTCTACACACACACAGTTTTGGTAGAACATTCCCGGTGTACCTCGTTTGGACCCTTGAATAGCTGGTAGAAGACTAAACCTTGCATCAGAAAGCAGCTACATCGTACATGGATCCTTACATGGAATCAATATCAAACTACTTATATTTTCTAACTTCATTCACATATACTATGATTTCTAACTTATTTCTTCATTTACAGTCGGGTTTAAACTTGCTCTTTTACATTGAAAAGCGTTGGTTTAAACTGCAATTTTATGAAAAACCAATAATTGGGAAAATGCATTAGAAAATTACTGTAAATGGAAAATAAAGATAAGAGAATAACAGTTTTCCTACTCCCCTTGCATGAACATTGCAGAAATGGATATACCACTGGACCTACACACAATAAAGTTCTCACCCTTCATCCATGATACTACATGAATCCATCCTGTGATATGCCATTTATGGCAATTTTCTGATGTGTGGTTCTCTCTGCTGTGGTCCTAAATGTTGTTATGGACCACTTGTTAAGAGTAACTCAAAGAGAATAGCTGGCCAAAATATATTTTCTTTATCACACTATCTATTTTAAAGACTAACTTCTACTAATTCAGCCCAACAACGCTTTCTATTTTAACTAACTATTTCAACTAACTTTAACTACAAAACCCACAAAACTCACAAAATCCAAATGCTCAGGTACCCACAATCCAAATATTTTGGTACCCAACACGAAAATCCACAAAATCTAAATACTCAGGTACCCAACTATCCAAATGGATTTTTGCTCTGATTTTGTGGGTTTTTTGATTGTCTTCTCTCTACCCAACACAAAGAGTTGATGAAGATTTTTCAGTTTTTCGGTTGTCTTCTCTCTGATTTGGTGGGTTCTTGCTTTTCGGTTGTCTTCTCTCTACTGGGTGGGGTTTCAGTAGATTTTTGGGTGAGATTTTGTGTNTCTCACCCTTCATCCATGATACTACATGAATCCATCCTGTGATATGCCATTTATGGCAATTTTCTGATGTGTGGTTCTCTCTGCTGTGGTCCTAAATGTTGTTATGGACCACTTGTTAAGAGTAACTCAAAGAGAATAGCTGGCCAAAATATATTTTCTTTATTACACTATCTATTTTAAAGACCAACTTCTACTAATTCAGTCCAACAACGCTTTCTATTTTAACTAACTATTTCAACTAACTTTAACTACAAAACCCACAAAACTCACAAAATCCAAATGCTCAGGTACCCACAATCCAAATATTTTGGTACCCAACACGAAAATCCACAAAATCTAAATACTCAGGTACCCAACTATCCAAATGGATTTTTGCTCTGATTTTGTGGGTTTTTTGATTGTCTTCTCTCTACCCAACACAAAGAGTTGATGAAGATTTTGCAGTTTTTCGGTTGTCTTCTCTCTGATTTGGTGGGTTCTTGCTTTTCGGTTGTCTTCTCTCTACTGGGTGGGGTTTCAGTAGATTTTTGGGTGAGATTTTGTGTTTTTTTCACTGAGATTTTTAGGGTTTTTTTGTGAGTTTTCTCTGTGGGATTTTTTTGGGTTTTTGCTGGTTTTTTTTTTTTTGGGTTTTCCAGTGGGAACCAACAGAGACCAAAGATGGAGAAAGAGAGAGACAGAGATATAGAGAGAGAGGCTTCCGTGCTTGATGAAGACGATGAAGACAACCAAGAAATACCTTGGCGCAAAAACTAGCGATCCCCTTTGCCTCGCCAGAAATAACTAGCAAATTGATGTTATGGGAAATAGCTAGGGCAGATAGCTAGGCTGTTGGAGGAGAAATTTACGAAGACACCATGTAAACTAGCTAAGAAGGGTTGCTCTAAGACCTACCTAACACTGAACTCGAATAAGTTATTGCATCATGAACATTCACTGTCATTTGCGTTGAAGTTCATCAAAACCATATCCACCCCCTCTTTGCTTGCATAGCAATCATCAGCTTTTAGTCACCAAGTCAAATTTGACTTGTTCAGATCGTAACTTGACCTAATGATTTTTTTTTTTTTCAATTTCATCAGTATCATAGACTTTCCCTTACGTAAGGGCTAAAAAAATAGCCGTAAGGTTTCAGAACTTACAATTTTCTAGTTGCGGAGTTGCCTGTACTTCCTACTATTTCTTCAAAATTCATGCAAATCACAGCTACAGAAGGCCCGGGATATCAGATTAAAGGACAGTAAAACAAATCTGTAACATTTAAGTTTACTTAATCTCTCCCGGCTTAAATGGTCTATCCACCAAAAACTACATTTATGGATTTTTCAGCCGAATGTATATCACTGTCAGTGATGTGTTAATCCTTTGAATAATCATCAGACCAACCTTGGTACAGAGCTTCTATTCTTTCACAGCTGAGCACTGTGCTTAAATTTGCAGCAGAAGCAGCTGCTACAATTGTCCATTTTCCAGTTATGTCTTGAAGAAAAATGTGTTCATAGGCCGATGGCTTTGAATTCTGATACACCAAGTAGGAGATACACGACCAATCAGTCCATACACCATACCTGTATCTTTCTTGCATTGCTCCAGGGTCAAACAGCCTCAATTCTCTTCCCATTCCTGGGTGCCTTCCCAGCATCTCGTAGAAAAAGAGTAAGCCTCTCTGTGCACCTCATCCGTAAGTCTGGTGATATATTTTTATAGCAATAGAATCATAGCCAGTTTCTTGTTTTTCATTGCAGCTCTGCATCATGACTATGGCTGCCTGAGTCACTTGGAATATGCTCCTGGTGAAAAGGATCATCTGCACAATGAACAGAACTCAATCTGGGAGAGAAGTTCCAACCTGTCCCCTGTTCCAGTTCAAGGCCAGCTGTTCTCATGTTGGCTTCTTCTTTGAACTTCATGTAGTGCATGGATGACCAGTAATCTTTTGCCAAACTCTAAAAAGGAAAGAGAAAGGAGGAGAAAAAGGCAAAAGCTTGATTAGAAATTAATGCAAATTTATGTCAGAGTAATACAATGCAATTAAATTATCATAACTTGTCCTACTATTGGACTAATACAGGAGAATGCAAGTAGTCATTTTGTATACCCAAGCAAAGAACTAACCATTTGCATCAACTGTATCACCTCATTTAGAACATTTTTAAACAGACCAGGGCCTGCCAAATCTAGAGTAGTCAAAATTTCTTGTCTGCTTCGGTGAGATATATTAACTTCCATTGCTGCACCTATATGTACATGGTTATCCAAAAAAAAAGTCAGGCTGAATAAGTTCGGAAAGTGGGCAAAAATTTCCTCTAGTAATGACTGAATAAACTCGGTGGGGGAAGACATGGGATGATCCAGCAACTCTGAGACCATCCCAACCTACAGTGGTTTACCGTTTTGAGTATCCTCTCCCCCCCCCCCCCCCCCGGGGG